TTTGATGATCCTTGAACTCCTTGCAACTCAAAATCTTCTATCATTCTGTGAATTTGAAAAGTTTTCTGGATGATTCTGACACTCCTGTGTGGTTTGGGGAGCAGCCACATATTTGCAAGTGCACAAGTGCAATGTGAAGCCATCACTGACATACATGTAGGTGGGCAACTTAACACCAGTCTACTCCCACCCCCCAAATTAGTGTCTTCTCCAGCACCAAAAATTCAGACTGTCCCTCATGTCCCTCAGAAACTGGTTCCAGAGGAGCAGGCCAGGAAACTTTGCTATTTTTGTCAGGTTGCAGTAGGTGTGGTGGGTATCACATTTGCCTGGGTGCGCTCATGGTCCTGACCTCAGTGCCCCAGTACTGGGTCAGCAGCCTTTGGTCACCAAAGGTCCCTTTCCCCTGGCTCCTGTTGAAGCCTCAGCACCAGCTGAGGGAGCCTTATTTGGTGGTTACAGATGTGGCAGCAGGAGTCCCCTGTCCCTCATTCCCAACCATCGAGGTGTCGGATCAGAGCTTCAGTGTGGAGCACATTGCTGCAGCACCTCCTCTCCTTCTGGGGACCTTCCTGAGCTCCCCACTGGTGATCAGACAGAGGGAAAAGAGAATCAGTGTTGACATCTATTAAAGGTGGTGTTCTGTCCATACTTCCAGGACTCTGAACAAGGAATGTATCTTGTCCCTCCCCTCGGCAAGCAAAGACCTCCCATGGGAAATCATGGGCCAGTTGCACTTGAGGACAAAGCCACCCATCCTTCTGGAGATGGATGACTGGCTCCCATGACAGGAGCAAGTGTGCCCCTAGAGCACGCTTCCCAGAGCACCTGTGGCACTCCAAGCAGCTTCCATGGTCACGGTTCAGCCCCCACATCATTCCCAGTGACATCACCCAGTGCCCCAGGGGCTCCCTGCTGCAATAATCCAAATGGTGACCGTACATCGCTGTCACTGGGATAGATCCACCCAGTGCCCAGCAACTGAAAACCCCCAAAGCAACTGGTTTGCTTAAATATTTGTTTAAATACTACTAAACCACCACATCACTCAGAGTAAAAGAGTGCCTTCAGCCCAGGGGTGTAGGAAAGCACACACAATGGTGAGCTCCCTGTGAGGAGCCAAAACCATTTCTGCTTTATTGATTGGTTGTGTTTAATTGAGAGTCCTTGAGACAACCACAAAAAGTAGAGGAAATTTTGTGAAGGAGCAAGCTGCACCACTTCTGATGAGTGTACAAGCGAAGGCAAGCAATATTGGGAATTATATTTTGGGGGTATCTAAGGACACTAGAAACTCGGATCAGACTATCAGAATTTCACTATGAAGAAACCTCCACAATGATTCTGAGCAGAAAGATTTCTGGGCCAGTCTAAGATGATTAATTGCTTGTGACACCTCCAGAAACTTGAGACGCTCCATGCAGCACAAAAGGAAATTCAGATTCCCTGCAGCACCACAGGCATATGCTGTACATCCTGGCAGTACCATGGCTCAGGGAGCTCATTTTATTTGTGTAGCCCCTGGGGTGCTGGGAAGGATGGCAAGCAAGGGGTTAAGTCGTGGCACCGTGGCTTCTGGAAGGGAAAGGAATGCCTCATTAACCAGCTGGAATTCATTGAGGATATGAACACCAGGGTGGACACGGGAAAGGCAGCAAACACCATATTACTGAGATTTTCAGGGTACATTGAACACAGGTCTGCAAAGGAGGTCAGTGCCGATGGCCGGATGGTGGCAGGAGGGGAGAACAGCCCTGAGAACTCAGGGGCCATGGAGAGAGAGTAGGAGAGGAGGGTGGAGGTCTGACTGGAGCAACCTTCCTCTCTGCCACCTCTCCATGCACAGCCATGACTTCTGTAACCATCCCCATCTGCCCCACCAGACAGGAGGATAAAGAACGTGCAGCCGACCCTCTGAACACCTGAGCCATCGCTCCCATGTGTTCATCTCCTCCCAGGAGTGCAACCCTCAGATTCCCAACCCATCACACTCATTTACTAAGCTGACATGGCACAACTGCACAGCTCTGTGGTTCCTAACGCAAGCATCCTGCAGTTGTAAGAGGTGTGAAGGTGTCCAGCAAAGGCACTGCTCGAGGTTCACCTACCCCAAATTGCACGTGGCAACTGCAATGCTGCTCCTTTAAATATGTCATTGCTTCCCCTGTGATCAACTCCAAGTCCAGGATTGCTCTGTTACCCATTATAAAATTCTAAAATTCTAAAGTTAATGTCATAAATATTATAAAATTCTAAAGTTAAACTGAGGCACAAAAAACAGATTCACGTGGAAAATGAATTCAGCATCTCTTTACCCTAAAGGTCAGTGATTCGGAATTTCATTCAGGAAAAAGGAAAATTTGGTTCCAACTCCTTTATCTGTCCTGGGGAATGTAAGAGTGTTATTCTGGAAATAATATTTCATTTTAATATAAAAAATTAATTAAGCATGGAAGTAGGAGAGCAGAGCTAGGCATAACCTCCTACAAGAGGGATTCATAGTAGGCTGGTAGAACAATTGTTCTCTGCTCCCTGGCTCTGTAAGTGTTTTAATATTTCAAATGATACCTTGAGCATAACACAGAAAGTGGAAACCAGACAAGTCCAAACCTCTGTATGCTTAAAATGTTCTTTTGCAGGGTACGAAATACAGATTTGACCCCACCCCCAGTGAATCCAGCTCTTCCATACTCCAGGTGACTGGTTTTGCTCCACTGCAAGAGCTAAAGGCAAATCATCAAACTTCTACCCTATGAATTTTGACTGTTTTGTCCCTCAGACAAACTATTGAGCACTTCTGAGACAAATCAAGAAATAGTTACCAAATTACTTAGTCTTTTCCATAGCTCAAAGGATTGCAATTTTTCTTTTTCTTTAGTCAAAGTTGTCTTAGAAATGCAAGTGTCTGAGACAAAATAGGAGCTAGAAAGTATGTGAAGGTATTGCTCTTATGTTACATCATTTTACCTAGGGCAAGGCTGTGATGGGCTTGTCTGCTCAACCCTGCTCCTTTTTATTTCAAACTTCATCTGGAAGATTTACAGCAGAACTGGCAATGCTAAGGGGGAACTGTTCATCCATTTGTAACTTGAGTTTGGCTGTGATTTACATTTGAAGCTGATATTTTAATCCCACAGTTGCATATCAGGTATACATAGATTTACCACAGTTGTTCTTTTCTCTGGTCAAAAAAAAGTCATTTGGGAAAATCATGCACATAAATCCATTCATATATAACATTTTCAAAATCAGTTTTGCAAGATATCTCCCAGGGCACAGCATTCTAAATCTGAAAACATGTTGTCCTTTATTCACCAAGGCTGAGGGACTGTATCATTGTAGGGGAAAACACATGGCCAACAGAACTGACCCCACTGACCTCACCCTGTCTTTGCTCCTCAACACCCTCAGCAGAGTGTGCTTGACATTCCAGCTAAAGCACCTGGCAATGCATCAGGGCTTGGGACCTGCCTCCTGCTTTATTTCTACATATTAGATGCAAAAATTACATTCCAGTTCAATATTGAGCTTTTCCATTCAAATCTTCACAGGACCAGACCCAGAATGGCTCCACAGTGCTCAAATTGCCTTCCCAGGAGAAGCCACCTCTCACCAGCCAGCCTGACCTCAGACATTGCCAGTGCCACCAGCTGCAGGCACTCAGCTTTGCTCTCACCCTGCAAGAGCCACAAGAAGTATTTGTGGGCACTTCCAGTGCAGCTTTCCTCACCCAGGGAAAAGCCCCAGTGATCCCAAGGAGTGCCAAGAAGGTCCCAAGTGCCAGGGGTCTGTCCCACCATGCAGCTGTTTGGCACAGCACATGATCCCTTATAGCATCCTTAGTCATCTTGTGGGCAGGTCCACCCATTTCCATCTCTCCTTAGAACTTGGGAAAAGCTCTGGGTAGTCAGAGCTTTTGATCTTTGTTTTCCTTGCAAACCCTTAAGATTCTGGCAATAATATTTCCATGCCTAAACGACAGGAGCAGACCCCAAAGCCATGCAGGCTACAGCAGTGGCGTGCAGATGTGAGAAACACCGAGTTCTTCAAGTGAGGTGATGTGAACTGCTGCCTGGGGAGTGAAGAGGGTGCTGATATCCCATTGAAAACTCCAGGGGACACCTGAAGAAGCATTAAAGCATTGCATTCTTTCTTCCATGGGTTTTTTTTTAAATTTTTTTAGCTCATTTAACATTTGCTTCTGGCCCAGGTATGATGGTGAGTATGGCAGACAGACAGCATCATGAAATCACTTTGAGGTGACCCCTTGAGTAACCAACCCATTGCTCGGCTCTCCTGCCCATGAGCACCACAGAACCTGATAGACGGGCTGCAGCAAAAAAAAAGGTGCTGCCAGTTTCCTGCATGCAGAAAACATGCCTTGATTGCTTGCAGAGTTGTGCTACTCTTCCAAAGATCTCCCTCAAGCAACACATATGCCAAAAGTGAGGATGCAAATTGAATCATATTGAAGCAAACCAGAGTTTATTTAGCATTTAGTACCCATTTTGTTGTCAGACATGGCTTCTTCTGTGTTGGTTTTCCTCTGGTAAACACAGACTTTTTTATAATTTTATTTTTTTAATAAAATATATAAAACATTGTGCATTGCTATCCATAGGAAACTGTAGTTTAACAACAACAAAAAAAAAAAAAAAAAAAAAAAAAAGAATAAGGCACATTCCTGTGCAGCATCTTCAAATATATATATATATATATTTAAAACAAAAAGAAAACCTTTTTCAACCTCTTTGAGGTTGTTAACTTCTCACTAGTCACTGACACATCTCTTATATTACCAGAATTTCACTGTTGGAGATGGGTTGGGTTGTGTTTGACAGGGGCCAGCAGGGAGAGCAGACTCAAAAAAAAATAATAGGATTTTATCCCTGAGGTGTCAGTAAAAAAACTAAATGTTCCCATTGAAAAGGAAGATGAAAAGACAGCCATAAATAACTGAATACACTATGGCAAACATCCAAGCACCGAGATGATTTCACGATGGAAGAATCCCCCTCCCTCCCATCCCCCACTTCTTAACAAGTCCTATTTGCTGTTGGGTTTTAATTAGGTTAATCTCATGGCTTCTGAAGTCACAAGACAATTGGTCAGGATGCACCTCCCCCTCCCTCCCCAAATCATCTTTCCAGAGTTGTCATTTTGTTCACAATTCTCCCACAGTCCTCAGGTAAAGGGAAACCAAAAAATCCTAAATGGAGACCAAATCCTGGGCAGCCTCCCTCTCCAGCCAAGAAAGGAGCACGGTGTGCCCAGTGCCAAACCCCACATGGGAACTGCCATTGTCTCCTCCCTGCCTGCTCCTCAGAAATGAACTCGGCAATCCCTTCTTTGAAACCAGAAAGTGTCCGGGAAGAGGGGTGATATCAATGTCAGGGAACGAGAGATGGGGAAAACATCATCGCTGTCCATCCTCACGGCTCCAGGCGGCACACCTGGTAGGAAAAGGGGAGACACCCACGTCGTATCGTTCCCTCCCTCTCCCCAGGCGCGGGGAGCAGGGCAGGGTGCCGGGGTCCCCAGGGCTCAGTAGTAGCGATTGAGGCTCCTGGTGCCCGGGATGTCGGGCTGCCCATTCATCCAGATCTCACGGATGATGCGCTCCCGCTCCTCCAGCCGCTGCGCCCGCTCCAGCTCCTCCGCAGAGGTGAACACGTTCATGTTCAAAGTCCTCTCGAACCTGCGGTGCCTGCGGGCAGACAGGTCCGACGTGGTGTCCGAGTCGTCGTCGCTGTCGCTGCTATCGCTGTCGCTCTCCCGCTCCCGAGGAGGTTTTTTGGAGGAGGAGCGCTTGCAGTCCGTCCGGCAGGACACCCTGAGCACCAGGGCCAGCAGGGTCAGCACGAGTCCAATGCACACTCCGGACACGAAATACAGGGCAGCCCGCTCGGGGTTTTCTGCAAGGACAAAGGAAATGCTGGAGGAGAAGAACCCTTCAAAGAACAGAACGCACCCGGCCCCTCCGTGCACACAACAGAACTGCTTCTGGCCGAGTTTCCAGCGGCAGCTTTTACCTCCGTGCCCTCCTCTGCCTCCTCCCGCCAGGGCAATCAGGAATTTTAAATGGATTTGCTGCCAAGGCGTTTGCCCACATGCAGAATGCGGGTTTGCTGCAGTTGTGTTATGGAGTTGTCTGGAAAAGAAGGGAGCAGCCCACAGAATTAAATCTGATTCCCACGGGGCTGACACCAGGGTGCTGCACAGCCAGCTGCAGGTAAGTGCATCTTGCTGTCGCACCCACCGCCTTCAAACCAGGCATAAAGATGATTACAAAACTTTATATGCCCTGTGCTGTGGCCCAGCTGAAATGGGAGGCTTGCCAGCATGGCAAAAATGCATTTTATTTATTCATAGACTTCATTTGCTTATCTAAGGCAAGAGTGCTGGCTCCCTGCCCAGACCACCAAAATATCTACCTGTGCTCCACAGGCAGAGCTGGAGTCAGTGCACCAACAGGATGAGTCCTGCACAGCCACATTTCTGAGGTGATAAAACAAGACTCCAAAGGATCCACAATGCCTTTCAAATTAGGTCTTGTTTATTTACCACCTCCTTTTTTTTCCTTTTCTTTCTTTTTTTTTTTTTTTTTTTTTTAGTTCATGGGAAGATTTAGAAGTGTAATTATGATAAATGTTGTTGCTGACATTCCCCTGGGCCGACTCATCCTGGTTTTTTGGTACACTAAATGGGTAAAGGTGAACTGCCAGAAGTGTCAAGGCCAGCTCTACTCTGCAGTGTCTGATGGATGTCTTGAGCTCAAGGATGGAGTCTGTTCCTCAGATGAGTTTTATTCCCTTGAACCCAGTGGTGGATCCATGACAGCTTCCACCAGCTGAAACCCTGACATTCAGCCCCAAAAGATCTCTGTAGCTAAAAGGCCTCACTTCTCTGCACAGTCCTTTTAGAACTGCCCTTTCCAGCCAATCTCCTAAAGCAAAGTTTGTAAAAGGTGAACTGGAAACTATTTGGAGATGTTCAAAACTCAACAGGGCAAGACCCTGCTCTAATTTCAAAGCTGGCTCTAAATTTGAAGTTAGCCATGTTCTGAGCAGGGGATTGGACCTGGTGACGTGCAGAGGCCTCTTCCAACCTAAATTATTCTTGGAGTCTGTGGTCAGAGCCCAAACACTGGCTTGTGCTGCTCTAGGCAGTGTGTAGTTCAGTGCCTGGAGGTGCTCATGGAACAGCTACAGAGATGGAATGCCTTTGTGCTCTTCACTTCTCTCCCAAATCTCAAAGGTGACTAATGAGCCAAGGTAGAAGATGTCAAGATAGTCTGAAAATTGTCCAGTAAATCCTTAGACTGATCCAAGAGTGGTTAGTGTGGATAACATGGGGAAAAATCAGGCTGGAGATAGGACAAAGAAAGATGAGGAGAGTGCAGCAGGTAAGTCCAAAAAAAGAAAGAGGTGGACCAGCCTCCTGAAAACTCGACTGTAATGTAAAGAACAAGCAGGACACTAAACTGAGTGTGTCAGAGCACCCATGACAGGGGGGTTAGATCTGATGGTCTTCAGATGGTCTGTAAGGTATCTTCCAACCAAGCATCTCTATGAAATGCAGCAGTAGTTGGAAGGTCAAGTGAGACCAAAGGCTCTAAACTAAGATATTTTGACAAAAGCAAAACACCACAATTCCAAAGGTCAAAGAGAAGATACCAGAGCAGGCAAGGAGAATGTGCCAATGGCCCCTGCAGCAGCCTGAATGAAATCCTGCTTCCACTGAAGGCAAAGGCTACTCTGAATTCAAGGGTCAGGACTCAACACTGCAGTGCCCTTTGTGCAGTAGGAGGAAAAAGCAAAAGCTGCTGCTGCCCATCCAGTCCTATGTGAACAGTAAAGGAAAAAAACCACCAGGAAAACCAGAGTCCCTAGGTGATAACACTTTTACCTCCACTGAGGACAGTAATCACCCAACTCCTTTTGCAGGTAGCCCAAGAAGGTCTCTGGATCACGGGAGTGTGAGCAGATGAGCAGAACTGGGGTGTTGTACTGGGAAGGCACTGGCTGCAGTGCCTTGGCTCTGCCTGGCTGGGAGGATGCCATGCACACTTCCCTGAGCACCACATTCTGCACACACATGGGCTTGATTTGGTTGCATTAGTTCCACTGCTTGCTCCTTCAGAGCGGCTCATAAAAAAAACATAAATTGGAGCCTGAGACACAGACACATGTAGATTCTCTGCCCCCGATTTTGCCCGTGTCCTGCTTTCCCTTTCTCCTCCACACTCCTTTTTCCATGCTACTGTATCCAGTTCATGAGCAATTTTACCTCTATTGCTACTTAAGCAACCATTTTTCTTCCCTTGCTTGTGCTCATCCGTACAGCTCTTCATGCAGTGCAAGAGCTGTAATTGAATTTTTGGGCTCCAGTGGCATTTATGAGCTCCTACAGCTACTCTGTCAACATCTGAGACACTGTCTGGACTTCCTCACGGAGATGTAACCCTGTGTTCAACTGCAGTTTTGGCATTTATCATATGTACAATCCACTTGCACAGCAGCATCTCTTTTTTTTCACAGCAGAAAGAGCAACTTAAGCTAAAAACCATGAGCTCTGCTTTTTCTCACTTGAAGTAGCCAAGTCAGCAATAGCCTAGATTTGGGGGTTTTATGGCTGATTAGTGATTTTGAGAGCCTACCCCATAGCATGTTCTACTTGTAAAGACCAAAACCAGGCACCTTCCTCAGCAAATGGATGCTCAGCACCTTCCAAAAGCTCAAAGGTGGCCCAGATTCATCACACCAACAGTGAAGCTCCTTAAAACTCTCATTATACTTGAAAAAAAGTTCTTTAAAAATATATGGACATGAGTAGCAGGAGTTAGTACTGCTGTTAGGAGTTTGATATGCATTCTTGTGTGTGTATGTGTGTATTCATTCATTAAAACATAGATTTTGAGCACTGAAGCATTCTTCCAATGCTATGGATGACAGCTCAGAGCTTCCAGCAGGACCCTTTTTCTACCAATCTCTTTGACTGGTGCTACCTTTTTCCTTCCTTGTATTTCTCTCTCTGGATTGAAAGCATTGATAAAGACATCACAGATTCAAATCTGAGATTAGTCCATGCAGACAAAAGATATATGCTCTACACAACCCTCTACGCAAAAGCCACCATTTTCTAGGCATTCAAACTGGCCAAAAAAAATTAGAAACACATTTTATTTTATTTATCCAACCAAACCAGCAGCAATTACAGAGCTTGTTTCCTGAGGGCTAACAATCTACTGGGAGCATCAGCTCAGACTGCCATTAATTCCCCAGGAAATGCCCCAGGCCAAGGCTGTTATTGCTATTATAATAAATTGTTTCAATAAATAAAAAACAATCTAGGTATTAACACTGCTGGCTTCCTGTAATGGTTTCATGCATTCCAAAACCTCAGTGGGGAGGAAAATTTCAGAGGGCCCCCAGTAAAAGGTTCAGCATTAGGCATGGCCAGAACAACAGTAGGAGCAATATTTTCTAGGGAATTTACAGTCAGCCCACAGGCTGCTGAAATCCCCTGATAGAACAGAGGAAGCTCTCCAGGAGCCCCTTATTAATAAGGCTAAGGCCAAGAAGTCTAAAATTTGGAATGATCTCCCCTGGGCTGTATTTTGGAAGCCCCTTGTTAATAACTTGGCAGCAAAGCTTTGCTTATGAAAGAAGAATAAAACAGGAATTTGTGGAGGTTTCCCTCCAAGTGCTTCATCCTGAATGCAGTGACAAAACTGGGATAAGTCTCCTGTCCAAAAGGAGGCACTGGAAGAGCTCTGATATATTTTGAATGTTTAATATTTATATAACCATGAAGGACATTTCTGGTCTTGCTGATAGTTTGTGACTGCAAAGACAGTTCCAGCTGTCACTGAGACTGGTGAAGTCTTTCAAAACACTCAGGCAGGTTTTGGAACAGGTCCACGACAAATAACAGGTCTGAGGCTTGTAGGCAGAGATTGTCTCTAATTAAAAACCTAATTCTATCAAGAAAATTAACTTTCAAAGAAAGGGTGTCTCTGAGACTGTTGCAAGACTGAATTCTAAATAATATTTATCTGTTGGATCAGCTACTAATTTCATTCCTTATTGACATTACTCACACTTTTTCCCTGTTTTTGAAGAAATAGGTTCTGGAATCTGGGATGAGACTGACACCCAACTGTCTCTGATATCTGACTATGATAGCTGCAAATCAGGACTCTTGCATCCTGCTGTGCTGTGATGATTTCTATTCAGTTGTCCATAGGAAGATTCCCAGCTCGTATATGGGAATATCAGTCAAAAAGATGGTGGAAATGATCACAGAGGCTTTTGCTAATAATGGCACTTCTCTGTGCACTGCAAGACTCTGCATGTGTGAGTGACTGAGCCTGCAGGCTTCACCTGCAGCTGCCCACCCAAAACTGCCATTTTGTGCAGAAAATGTGAACGCCATTGAGCATAGAAGAGATTCCAGTATTTGTGGATGCTCTCCCCAGGCTATAAAACACCCCACTGCCAGGAGAGGAAAGGCAGTAGAGAGGATCATCCTTTCAAGCCTGCACTTTACCCATGAAATAGCAAAAACACACAGCTTCATTTCCCTGCAGTGGATCTGAGGGCATCCACCACCCTCTGCCCCAAGAGAAAAAACACTTTTTTATATTGCCCCTGCCTATTTACAATTTTCTTTTGCAAACTCCTGCTCTGAGACAACTCATCAGCACGGGGAAGCCCTGAATGCAGCCCTTTCAGTCTGCAGAGAGCACCTGAGGGACATTTTCAGTGTCATGGAACAGAGCAGTTCTTGCACTACTGTTTCTCTTTGGCACCACAGCTGTGGTCAGGAGCAGTGGGAAGATGTGTGACCCAGAACCAGCCCTCCCTGGCTGCTCAATACCCTGCCTCTCCTGAGCCACTATAATGGATCCTCTGTGGACATCAGCCGTGGCTTCAGCTTCCTTCAGGGCCCCACTCAGGAAGGCATAAAAAAAATCCAACTGCTCTGCTGTTCAAAATATGCAGTATGAAGAGGGATGGCTTGGCAGTGCTCTAGTTTGATGTGAATTATATTTGTGCCCTGTGACATAGTTTATCTTTGAAGTCATAAGCTAAAACATCTCCGTACTCACATATAACAAAATAGATCATGACAAATCCATCATTTCCACTAAAAGCAGAGGCTAAATTACATGCAGCAGATAAAGATGGTTTAGGACATCTGCTGTTTCAATCCATGGGTCAGTCATCAATTATTTTTATAATAAATAACAAACTGGACATATATGTCACTGACACTGAAACCCATTGAACAACTATGGTTGAGGAACATGGGAACCAGCTGATCTTTAAAGTCTCTTCCAACCCAAAACATTCTATGATTCCATGGTACATTGGAAAACATAAGCAACCAAGTCCTGAATGCAGCACTTGTAACCAAAGTTTTGAGGTCTGAGTTTACCTATTTGACATCCAGAGGATGTGAACACAACACAAGAAAACCACAGGACAGGGCAGACAAATCCCACATCAACAGGACAGTTAAAGTTGTCTGTGCTGCAGTAAAATCTGGAGGCTCCTGCCAAGGCTGACACCTTGTGATGGGGATGAATCAAGACCTTGTGCCCTAAAACCAACATAGAGTCAAAGAGCTCTGCTGCAGTCAATGGAAGTCCATGGAGCATTGTAAGCAGCCCTGAATCACACTCCCAACTATCCTGGACCATTATTCCTACAATTTTCCCTGCCCATTACTGTTCAGATGGGGAGCACAATATTAACAGCATTTTGTTTTATAGTTAGGATGGGAAGGTAGGTATTCTCATGAAAAAAAATGGTAGCTGTACGTAAGGGGGGAGAAGTGGGACAGAGAGAAGACTCCTTTAAAGCTTGTTTTTCTAATTTTTCCTTGGAGATACCCATGCAAGAAAACAAATCTATCCTACTCAGCTATCTTCTGTGAAGAGCACTACTAATTCAATTTAATCTGCCTGACTCTGAGGGCTGTCATGGAAAGATGGATCCTGATAGCAGCACTGGATGTGTGGAAGAGCAGGACTTTGTATAACCTTTCATGGTCCTTTTAGAAGGACCCTTCACTAAATAATATGCAGGAACACTCTCACTAACCTCCTCAGTGGTTCCAGAGTGCAAAGCCCAAGTCAGCTGCTTCAAATCCAAAGCATCAGATCCAAAGCATCAAATCCAAAGCATTGGATCAGCAGCATGGTAGCATCTCAGCAAGAGCAAGAGCATGGCAGCAAGAATGCACTACTGTTTAATGAATTAGCAAGACTGAATTAGCAGGCAGACATGAAAAAGTAGCTCACAAATACTGGGGTTTTAGTTAATATAGCCTTGAACACTTCCAGGAATGGGGCAGCCACAACCTCTCTGGGCCACCTGTGCCAGTGTCTCACCATCCTCACAGTAAAGAATTTCTTCCTAATGTCTAATCTAAACCCACTGTCTTTCAGTTTAAAGGCATTCCCCTTGGTTCTGTCAGTTTTCTTTCGCCTTTTAAAGTGAATTTTTTTAGAAGACTGCTCCCCCGTTACTTGAAAGATACAGGTAGGTGAAAGATAAACTGTGATCCAAGGAAACCTTACTCCAACTAGATTTAAATATACAATTAAGTAGACTCAAGTTACTTCATCTTCACACTTCTACTGAAGATAAGCCAAATTCTCTTAAGCAGTGTAAAGATTTGAGTGCTGCTTGTTTTTCAAATTACAGGACAACAAACCTGCCTCCCTAATGAGCCAGGCTTTGATCTCCAGAAAAATGAAGCATTAGGAATAATGCCACATGTAAGATTACATTGTATTTAACTCCAGATGAGCACAGACCCAGTGGAAAGCAGTGCACAATAAACTCAGTTATACACTGCCTGCTGGAGCTGCCCCGGTCAGGATTTTCAAGGGAGAATTCACTGAGAGAAGAATGGAGTACACAAACAGTTCAGAGAGGCAGATTTAGCACCAGGTGACTTTGAAAGGAGGGCCCACACAAAGCTTTCAGGAGCCCAGGGAGGCACCAGACGTACCTGTGATGAAGGCATAGGCTGCCAGGATGTTGCTGAGCAGGGCCATCTCCGTGCCGACGCCCACGGGCTCCATGCTGCTGCTGAGCGCCGGCGGTTGTGTCTCATCCACAGGGAGCAGGAGGGGGGTGCTGTCTACAGGGTAGAAGGTGGCTGACCTCCCTTTCTTCTTCTCTGCTTTGACACAGAAAGGGAACGAGGAATGAGGAATGTAGAATGTGACCCAGCCCTACCCTGCCTTATTCCCACCAGGTCAACATCTGTGTTCAGAGGTCTGGAGCTGCTCGACAGGGAGCCACACAAATTTGCCCCTTTTTGCAGGGTAACTGAACCTTCTCAAGCAGCTTCAGCTGAGCACACACCCCATCTGCATCCAGGCATCATCATCTCTCCCCCATCCTCTGCTCTTTCATGTCACCACTTAGACACACCCACCTATGCTACAGCAAACGTATAATCAGGTTTATTTTCTCTTATGTAAATCAAAGGAGCCTTTATCAACAGTGGGTTCAGCTAAGCTTATAAGGAGGACTGGAAAGCACAGGAAGAGCCCACAACCCTCTGCTGGTGTGGTGCTGTAGAGATCCATCCACACCTGGCAAACAGACGTGATTTCTCTCCAGCCTTCCTGGGAAGGGCAGACCTGAGTTTATGGCTTCCTTCAGAAGCCTGTTCGTATTGTGTTTCACCCAGACACTATTTCCCCTCTGGAGAGGCGAGTGAACATGGATTAATGATTTGATTTTATTTGTTGAAGACTGGAGCTAAGGAGGCAGTTCATTCCAGGAGCATCAAAGAGACCCTTTCAGACCTTATCAGCTCACTGTTGAGGGCTCCCCACACCTTGATCTGCAGGCAGACACCCCCACTACTCACAAAACACTAATTGTTTTCAACACAGGAAAAAGTCAGTGCACAGGATCCAGTTCCATCATGCATGTGAATTTTTAACTGTAGCCATTACAGATTTTCAGGCTCCCTTCTCTGGGTGTCTAGTTCTGGCCGAAGGCAAGCATCACTCTGTAAAATCAGACTTGCACCTGGCTTCCACTTCTCTGCAGGTATTAAATTCAGGGCACTGCCAGCTCCATCTCCAATGATGCCATCACTGCCGTGCAAGCAAAGGCATTCTGTCAGGAGTTGTGATATGAGATGGTCTTTGTTCCTTGGCTGCCTGATCCATCTCCTCTCCCTGCCAACCCAGCAGCATGAGACACCACGTTCAGCTTCCTGCTATGGGTGCCAGCAAGCAGCTCAGCCTAAGCAAGCAGTAACAGAAAGTGAGGGGTGTCAAAGAGAACAGGTAATACTGGATGGAGAGGCAGGAATGTGTGTGCAGTGATGCCAACTCCTCATCTGCCTCGAGGAGAGCCAGTGGGGATGGATGTCCAGGTGTCACTGTGAGGGATCAGCCCCGAGGGATGTGGGCACAGCTGTACCTCTGCCACTGAATAGCTGCATGGCCTTGGGAAAGCCACATGTTCAAGGTTGCCACGGTGTTAATAACTGGACTTCAAGCAAAGTGTTTAAACATGATTGCTTGGGTGTCATATCCCAAAGTGTAAAATATCCCAAGAGCCTCTTGCTTTAGGAGAATAGAGGTTACTGCAGACCCCTTGTGCAAAAGGTCCAAGGGCACATTCAGCAGGAAATCAATAGCAACATTTCACTTTTTTTTTTTCTTTAATTCAGATTAACATGCCATCTAATATCTCCTTTATCCTCCTTGTCTGGTAAATCTGCCTGTACAAGTGTTTGAATTTTTTCCCTTCCGCTATTCCAAGAAAGCAGGGTAAATATTTAACTTCTAAAAACTCAATTTAAAACTTGGATATTTCAGAGCATCTCAAGTAACACCATATATCTAAACTAAGGCAAGAGAATGTTGCTATTAGTTGATGGATAGCAGAGAGTCATTCAGCTCTCCCCACAGCAGACACTTAAAGCTCTGTGTATTTGCTCATACACAGACATCTAAGGCACCCCAGGGTCAGGAGGGCATCCATGCAGAGATGGAAGGTATGATGAGGGATGCAGAGGAAATGCTTTCCCTTCTAGAAGCAGGTGAACAGTCCAGGTCATCACAAATGACACATTTAAATGGGGGTAACTGAATCCTGTCTGAGATGTGTCCTGACTGAGGTCTGGCTCTGAACTAGTTAATGTAAAAGCCCTTCACGATCGAGGAAAATGAAGGGCACCTCCAGGATATAATCTTAGACATAATTCCTATGTCAGACAGACACCACCTCTTGTTTGTGGAGCAGCCCTTGTAAACCACGTGCAGTAACAGTTCACATCTTCACAACTTCAGGAGGCACAGTAAGGGATAACTCCTCTCGACATGTGAGATGTAAGAAAAATCCCTTTTTTTTTTTTTCTCTTCTAACTTGTCAAATGAACAGATGCAATCAAACATGTTTTTAAACGAATACTGGCCTGCATAAACTAAACTCCAGCAAAGAGCATCACAAAACCACAGGACTGGTTTTATCATAGGCAGGATTGTACAAGCACAGACACGGAAGACAGAAAATGATTGGACTTATGCAGGAGGGGAAAAAACACAACAATTTCACAAGGGCCATGTGTTGCTACACTGTGTGGTTCCCTGGTCTGCCATTCCTTTCAGGATCACACTAAAAGATATTCCTTCCTCCTTGATAGCTTTGTAGACTTGTCAATGCCTAATCAGCTCACTACTACTGCTTTTCTCCTCACCACCCTTTCTCAGCTGTTGCCAGTCACTTGAACGGATTTTCTGTGAGTTTACAGCAAAGCTGAACAAAATTCTTTCAGCCAGCAGTGAATTTGCCCAACACCACAGTATAAGCACAGGAGAGGTTATTCCTGATACCAGGCTGATGTTAGCAAATAGTTTCAATAAAAGAAATGAAACAGGAAGGGAGATTACAGAAATTTCCAAGTATTTTGTTATATTTGAAACATTCCTTTAGGATTTAATTTCAAAATGACATCTTTGTTTGAAAAGTGGTGCATATTTTGAAAGTGAATGAATAAACTATGTGAAACTAAACAAAAGGTGTCATTCGTAGAAGTAAAATGTTTAGAATGAGTTCAGGATATTTTTCCTTGCTTGAAAGAATCTCCAGGATCATATCCCAATGTTTATTTGGGGCTAACTTAAAACTCTTGACAGCTTTTCAGTAAGGCCCCCAAACTGACAAACCCGTTACTGCCAGTTCTTATTTATTTGTGAATTGACTAGCTAATCTGTGGATTAACTTTGCCAGGAAAGTAGACAGAGACAAGCTTTGCTCATACCCACCCTCAAGCTGAATCTCTGGAAGCACAGACTGGGATTTTCAGTAGTGCCATAAACCATCTCCTGCATATTGGGAAACAACACAAAACCACTGAGGAACCCAACACGTGCTCACATGTGCTTTTCCTTTATTCATACACCACCCCTTCCTCCTACTCACCTATCCCTAGAGATGGCTAAGATCTGACTTCATTCATTTTGCATTTTATGAAAATAGCATTGTATTTCAAAGCTCAGTTGAAACCTTCTCTATCCCATGAGGCAAATCTACTGTCTCTGCCCTGGTTTTTTTTCTTTGCCATTAGACAGGTCTGGAAAGTATTTCTGTGACGAGTTTGGACATGCATGGCCATGACTGCTATTCCAAGGAATCCAGTGTTTCTTGAACAGTTTCACAGTTCACTTTAGCCTGTCACTGGTCACATCTTGAAGCTGTCACAGCCCCTTCTGACTGTGACATGGGCAGGATTTAGGAGCAATACAGAAATCCAGAAAAGGGGAGACGGAAAGACACAACACCATCAGGTTTGGGACAATATCACAATGGTCATAGCTACCTGGGAGAGCTCGCTCTATGTTGGAAGGAGAGACATCCAAAAAGAACACGCCGTCCCCTATAACATTGGGGTCAAACGCTCTTGGCTGCAGTGGAAAATGTGGCTTCTGGTACCCTTGTTGATTGGTTGCTGTTGCCTGAGTTTCATGCAGAAGCTTCTTGGGAACTGAAAGACAGGAGCAAAAAGAGCACAGTTGTTAGTGTGAGTTATTTCAGCTGGCCAGAATGAGAGCTGTCACGTCATGCTATGGGCTCAGCTGATAGCTAATTGTACCATGTGCAACCCAAACAGACACTCATTTTCCACTATGAGGAATGTTCTCCAAATGCCAGCACAGAGACATTCAATGAGAGAATGCTGGAAACCATAAAGTGATTAAGACACTGTTTATTTACAATTAAGCCTTGAGACTAGGCTAAGGATCAGATTCACATGTTCTATTTAAACACTCATCTCAGAAACTGAAATAGACCTTAGCAAGCCAGGCTTTGTCCTCAGCTCTAGGCTTCAGAGCACCCCAGTTAGAGCTCTCTGTTCCTACCATGACAGCAAGCTGTACAGGATGCCCCATAGCAATGGGGCTATAGCTATATCTGAAATCCTGTCTCCCTCCAGCCATCAAGCTGCTGGCTCAAAACTGAACGTCAGAAGTTTCTGTCCACTCTAGATTCACAAAACCAGACTCTAGAGGATGTTGTTCATGTGTAATCATAAAACTTAAATAATCCACCACTAAAATAAATTCCTGCTGTAAGAAACGCTCTCCACCCTGTGAGATCCAAAATACACTGTTTCCCATTGAGTTTTAGGCTGTAAGATGGGAAAAGCCCATTCTCCATTCCCACCATCCTGAGGAACATGAAGATTCAGCTAATCCCTACTGCTCTGTGTTTTATCAGCCACATCATATGCAGGCAAAATGATGGATTAATATGTGACAGATATTTTGGACATCTCTGGTCTCTTCTTTGGACCAAAGCATGCCCTAATAACACAGGAATGTTTTCTCCTCCATACAAGGCCAGTTCTTTAGCTGTACAACCAGGTAAAGAAATCAAAGCTGGTGTAGCTACCTCAGTGTACACCCACTGAAGGTGAATCCACACAGTAAATTCACTAATTTGCCCTGTAGGGACAAAGACTGGAGTCATCTGTGGAGCTGAACCAGTTCTCTTCCTCAGCCACAGCCAACATCTGAGGCTATTTCAGAGCAAAGTGCTTCTCCATACAAAGAGAAGAAACAAATATACAGGTCATTCTTGTCAGAAAGTAGAGGAATCGTGTGATGAAGGACAAAAAATTTATTAAAATTTCCACAGGAGAAAGATTTATTTTTCCTGTCAGTGACTATGCATTAATGCATAGCAGACAACCAAGACTTTGGTGTGCTTAAGACACAGACTGCTGAGCACTAGGCATAAGTTCAGTAGACCAACATGAGCTTCAAGAGAAGATTTATGGGATGCCCATTTCCCCTTTCTCCAACTCTAACACCACCTTCCTCTCTCAATCCAACCAGGCTGCCACCTCCCAGTGCCTCAGTTTCCCCAGGGCTCCACTTGGGATCATGCTATCTCTCATCTCCACCCTTTACAGGGGCGTGAAGAAGCTCAATTAAAAATGCAAAGCACTTTGAGATGCTTGGCAGAATCTTGAAGGAGGACTTGGAGAAAGGTTAACTCTGGATCAGAAAGGAAATTCCTGCCTGCCCCCTGCAGCTAATCAGCTGCCAGACTGGAACAGGAGATTTAATCGCATCCATTAAATTTGCCTGCATCACCCACCACATTACTAGGGGCTGAAGTGATCCAACCACTTTGTTTACATGATGTTTGACTTACTGTCTTTGCTGAGGCAAAGAAAATTGTAACTAGATTTACAGACTGACCTCCTGTATTAGGCTGCCAGGACATCAGCACTGAAGTTCTTGCATTATTAATGGAGTCATGCTAGGTCAGGAAACAGACAGAAAACCCCACAGCCTCTGAATATCAAAGAGCTGGCACAGAGATTTCTAGTGAAACCTGAATTGGCAACAGTTGGAAGGCAACAAAAAAAACACATCCCCTGGTAGGAACCAGACAGGAATGAGGGGGATACCTGTGCCAGGGAAATATCAGAAAGTCTGCAGAGGAGGTGGGTAGAACAGAGATTATCCTACAAACCACAGCCAGGGAGAACTGCAGTTCTGGGTGCCCAACTTGAGGCACACAAAAGGATGCAGAGGGCACAGGGCTCAGCACCCTCCAAAAATAGTCTTATTGCTGTATCTCAGACTGAGCACCTGATAACCATTTAAAAGACATGAGACACTTTCCTTTATAGATTTTTCACCCAATCTGCATCCCAGTAACCTGTTGATAGGCATCCAGTAAAGAGAATTAAACAAAGGGCTTTCATGTTTCAGACTTACTCTTCTTCATAAACACCTCATTTACATCTCAGCATTCATGACCATCACCAGGGCACAAGACAGGCTGGGTGGACCTGCATCTTTCTTAGGAAAAGTGACACTACCCAACACTTAAACATTTGAGCGAAGTAGGGGAAAGAAACACCATAATTTCCTAAGCACACCCAGAGAACTGAGATATGGCTTTTCTATCTTGGTATCTGTGCCACCACCATTTGAATGCCACCCACAGGATCAGGGGAGGAATCAGATAAAGCAAAACATTGCTAAATCAGTCTACAATTGGTCAGCAGTATCCCAAGGAAGAGCAGAGATGGGAAGTATTCAAGGAGAAACACTGACAGAGTGTTATTGGCCCAGCACCTTATGGAGTAGGGCTGTGCTGTTATCTCCTTGGGCTGAGGAAGTAAGAACCTAAGGCATCAAGTAATCATTTGGTGCCTTAAAGCAGAGGTGGCTGAGGACTCCCAAAGGATTCCCAAAACCAGGCATTTCCTTAACATCTGTGGTTAGCACACACTTTGGTGCTTTCAAAAGTTCCAAGAGGTGCTTTTCTTCATTTCAGCAAGTAGATCCCTTTAAAACTCTGGAAGCAACTAAGTGCAGCACAGGATGTCTGCAGCACATAAACTTGGACTTTTCCATTTCAAGGAATCATTTTTCTATGTGGACTCCATAAACATCTTGAGTACATCTTGCCAGGAAAGGCCCATCTTTGCAAAGAGTATGCAGAGAGATGACATGCAGCAAGTCTGCCCTTTTTCTAGTTTATATGATGCTCAGTTGATACACAGCTTTCTTTTGGTTTAGAAAGACTGTGAAATGGAAAGCCTTTCTCAAGTGTAAAATACCTCACAATTTCCAGTTAGCTCCTGTGTGGCAGCCAACTCCACAAGAAAGATTAAACATCTGGTTCCTTTGAAATGCCCTCCTTAAATTCTCTAGAGAGGAGTGCATCTGACACAAAGCATGGCATGAGTTGAAGCAAAGTGTCAAGGAAAGTTATTTATTATTAAAACCACCAGAAAAAAAAGTACCAAGGATTTTTGTCTTATCTCAGTATTAAGCACAGAAATCTTGGCAAGGAAGGGTTGGCATTTGTCCTGCTCTGTGCAATCAAGCAGAGAAGTTAAAGCAACTCAGTCAGCAGAACAAGTGATGGATGTGGACAAGAGGGGAAGAAACAGCTTCAATCAAAATGTTAACACACCTCATAGCTGGGAGCCCTGCACCTAAAAATGCACATGAGAAATGAGCTGGGATCATCTGGAAGAGAGGAGATGAGTTTTTCTGAGGACCTCTAGGGACTTTCAGCCTCTCAGGGGGTAGCAGTCAGCATTGAGATGTGGGTATTTATCCAAATGATAAAATTCTACAGGGACTTGGGCTGTGCACAGACACAGAAGCACAGGCAGAGGTGTAACTTTTCAGATGGCAGGCCCTGCTCAGCCACTCACCCTGAGGCTCAACTCAAACATCACCACATGGATTTCATGACTTATCTGGAGACAAAGTGTCACCATTGCTGTGACACTCCATGAAGGTACCTGCAGAAGTTGGTTCTAGGTTATAAATCTGCAAGGGAGCTTTTGGATTAGCAGGTTCATTCCCCTGCCATTACAGGCTTTCAAGTTTTACATAATCCCTCTGTGTCTGCTTTAAAAGCAATCCCAGCTCCCACTGCTCATCTGTCCAAATCAACATCATGCTAGCAATAATTTATACCAGTTCCCAACCCAAGAGCTGCATTACCCATTTGCAATGAATTAATGGCACCAATATCACAACAAAATCTCTTCACTGCCTGGCAGCCTCTCCCCACTGCAGAAACAGGGGTGAAGGAAAATCAAAGCCAGAGTATGCTCTCATGGCCAGAGCAGATCCATCAGAGTCAGTAGGATCAGCCAGCAGGACAGTGTGAAAAGGCACATGCTGGTGCTGCTGACAGTATCCTTATTTGTACTGTGTGGAGACGCCTTCTGCTGGAATTTTCACACAAGCAGTTTCTTGTGTGGCCAGAAAACCCAGGGCTGATGAAAAGAAAAAGTTACTGTGTCTACAAGCAGGAACATTCCAAATTGCAGCGTTAAGAGGTGGAAAAGGCCAGTCAATACCTCACCTCTGTTCATTAAGGGCAGAGAATCTCAAGCTGGTTTGGGTTGGGAGGGACCTTAAAGACTATCTTGTTCCAGGCCCCCTGCCATGGGCAGGGACTCATTCCAGCAGACCAGGTTGTTCCAAGCCCCATCCAGCCTGGCCTTGGACACTTCCAGGGATCCAGGGGCAGCCACAGCATCGCTGGGCAACCTGTGCCAGGACCTCACCACCCTCACAGTCAAAAATTTCTTCCTGATACCCCATCTAAACCTACTCTTTTTCAGTTTAAAGCCATTCCTCCTTGGCCTATCATTACATGTCCATGTTCCTCCTCAGGTTTCTTGCAGGCCCTCTTCAGGTATAAAAAGACCATAATGAGCTAATTTGCTGTGTTCCTTATGTTGATCTATCTAGTTTTAAACACTCCAGTCCTGGGGGTTCAACCAATTGCCACAATATATTATTTTCAGAGGAATACTGCTCTTTCTGTGTAATTATTTTCCAGCATTGCTGAGTGTTTCAATTTAAGCACATATATTATTCCTCTAATCAAAACATTTGATGCTATAGTCCCTGTATTTTATGGATGGGGAATTGGCTCAGGGACAGAGTTTTGAAAGTGTTTAAATACCAAAATGATTGTCCAACTTCACAG